GCGATATATAGCGATATATAGCGGTAGCGATATATAGCGATATAGAGGGATATATAGCGATATATAGCGGTATATAGCGATATAGAAGGATATATAGTAATATAAAGCGATATAGAGCGATTTAAAGGGATATAGAGGGATACATAGCGATATATAGCGTTGTAAAAGCGATATTGAGCGATAATATGGCAATATAGAGCGATATATAGCGGTATATAGCGATATAGAGCGATATATAGCGGTATATAGCGATATATAGCGATATATAGCGGTATATAGCGATATAGAGGGATATATAGCGGTATATAGCGATACATAGCGATATATAGCGGTATATAGCGATATAGAGGGATATATAGCGGTATATAGCGATATAGAGCGATATATAGCGGTACATAGCGATATATAGCGGTATATAGCGTTATATAGCGGTATATAGCGATATAGAAGGATATATAGCGATATAAAGCAATATTGACCGAAAATATGGCAATATAGAGCGTTATATAGCGGTATATAGCGATATAGAGCGATATATAGCGGTACATAGCGATATATAGCGGTATATAGCGATATATAGCGATATATAGCGATATAGAAGGATATATAGCGATATAAAGCAATATTGACCGAAAATATGGCAATATAGAGCGTTTATATAGCGGTATATAGCGATATAGAGCGATATATAGCTGTATATAGCGATATAGAAGGATATATAGCGATATAAAGCAATATTGACCGAAAATATGGCAATATAGAGCGTTATATAGCGGTATATAGCGATATAGAGCGATATATAGCTGTATATAGCGATATATAGCGATATATAGCGGTATATAAGCGATATTGAGCGATAATATAGCAATATAGAGCGTAATATAGCGGTATAGAGCGATAAAGAGCGATATAGAAGGATATATAGTTATATAAAGCGATATAGAGCGATATAGAGGGATATATAGCGATATAGATCGATATAGAGCGATATAGAGGGATATATTGCGATATATAGCGGTATATAAGCGATATTGATCGATATATAGCGGTATATAGTGATATATAGCGATATATAGCGATATATAGCGATATAGAAGGATATATAGCGATATAAAGCAATATTGACCGAAAATATGGCAATATAGAGCGTTATATAGCGGTATATAGCGATATAGAGCGATATATAGCGGTATATAGCGATATATAGCGATATATAGCGATATAGAAGGATATATAGCGATATAAAGCAATATTGTCCGAAAATATGGCAATATAGAGCGTTATATAGCGGTATATAGCGATATAGAGCGATATATAGCGGTATATAGCGATATATAGCGATATATAGCTGTATATAGCGATATATAGCGATATAGAAGGATATATAGTTATAAAAAGCGATATAGAGCGATAATATGACAATATAGAGCGATATATAGCGGTATATAGTTATATAGAGCGATATATAGCGGTATATAGCGGTGTATAGCGATATATAGCGGTATTTAGCGATATATAGCGATATATAGCGGTATATAGCGATATATAGCGATATAGAAGGATATATAGTTATATAAAGCGATATAGAGCGATATAGAGGGATATATAGCGATATATAGCGATATATAGCGATATATAGCGGTATATAGCGATATATAGCGTTATATAGCGGTATATAGCGATATATAGCGATATAGAAGGATATATAGTTATATAAAGCGATATAGAGCGATATAGAGGGATATATAGCGATATATAGCGATATATAGCGATATATAGCGGTGTATAGCGATATATAGCGTTATATAGCGGTATATAGCGATATAGAAGGATATATAGTTATATAAAGCGATATAGAGCGATAATATGACAGTATAGAGCGATATATAGCGGTATATAGGTAAATAGAGCGATATATAGCGGTATTTAGCGATATATAGCGATATGTAGCGGTATTTAGCGACATATAGCGATATATAGCGGTATATAGCGATATATAGCGGTATATAGCGATATATAGCGATATAGAAGGATATATAGTTATATAAAGCGATATAGAGCGATATAGAGGGATATATAGCGATATATAGCGATATATAGCGATATATAGCGGTGTATAGCGATATATAGCGATATAGATGGATATATAGCTATATAAAGCGATATTGAGCGATAATATGACAATATAGAGCGATATATAGCGGTACATAGTTATAAAGAGCGATATATAGCGGTATATAGCGGTGTATAGCGATATATAGCGATATATAGCGGTATATAGCGATATATAGCGATATAAAGCGATATTGAGCGATAATATGGCAATATAGAGTGATATATAGCGGTGTATAGAGATATAGAGGGATACATAGCGATATATAGCGGTATATAGCGATATAGACGGATATATAGCGATATATATCGATATATAGCGATATATAGCGGTATATAGCGATATAAAGCGATATATAGCGGTATATGGCGATATAGAAGGATATATAGCGATATAAAGCGATATTGAGCGATAATATGGCAATATAGAGCGATATATAGCGGTGTATAGAGATATAGAGGGATACATAGCGATATATATAGCGATATAAAGCTATAAAAAGCGATATTGAGCGATAATATGGCAATATAGAGCGATATATGGCGATATATAGCTATATATAGCGATATAGATTGATATACAGTAATATATAGCGATATATAGCGATATAAAATGATATAGAGCGATATATAGCGATATAGAGGGATATATAGCGATATAAAGCAATATATAGCGATATCAATGTGGAAGTTTAATGAATATTTATCACTATTATTTGAAGTCTATAGAAGCAGAAACAACTCAAACAAATCGGTATATCGATTAGCGCAGCAAGGCATCGACTCGTAAGGTGAATTACACATATAATTGTAAGCACAAAGCAATCCACAAGTCTATGCAATACCATCAAATTGTGGGCGCCATGTAACTTCAACCAAATCTTAGTCCAAATACTAATGTTGTCCCATTTATGTAGCTATTTGCTGTTTTGGCTTGGCAAATTAGCCACATTTGATGGTATTTGCGGGCTGGATGCACTTAATATGCGTTACGTGCTGGAATCTGTAATTAATGCTGGGACAGCTCGTGTAATAAAATGGATTTGTTGATAATGTCAAACATTTGGGCCGTGGATTCCATCACAATAAATTGACATTTGGGATTTGCTTACCAGGCTTGCGGTCAAATTTTCGGCAAACTAAATTTGTTGTCATCTGCTTCGTTAGTCTGTTCAATTTTCTAATTCGACCATTAGTAAGATAAACAGTGTGATTCTATTTAGACAAAATTCAAAACTTGCTGATTGATCCATTGAAATATTTGTTTTGTTTCGTGAATGACAAAACTTAATTATTGTCGTGTTTTTATATCCTGTAGGAAACCCGATTAATTAACCCCATCAATGTATACTCTTAATTAAAACCAGGAGTGAGTCGATCTGGACATGTCCGTTTGTCCTTGAGTGTGCGTGCTGCATTTATATGTATAAAAGAATCGTAGACTGACTTGGATATCAGCTATCAGAAAAGTGTTTATAATCCATTCTGACGTAAGAATAAATCTAATAGCATTTATATTTTGTTTTCGCACTTTTCAGAATTAATTAAAACTTAATTTAATTTATATACATTTTGTTGCTCATTAAGAGTGCAAGCTAAGATATCGATTAGTTTGTCAATAGCTATATACATAGTAATATCGTAATATATCGTACAGTTATATATAGAAATAAATAGTAATCCATTGGCTGTTTCTCGCCCTCCTTTTGGCCATCATTATACGAGACATAATGGAGCTATGTTTGCTTCTGACCGTTCACATTTGACTAGTAGTTTTTTAAGCTGATAAAAGTTTTATAGGAGCTGTTAAAAAGCTTTTTCTCGGCTTTAAAGTTTTACCTTGCTGGCTTAGCTTGTGTGTTGGTGTGTTTGTTGCCAATGGACGCCAAGGTCATTAATATTTCACTGTGTTGCTATTAGCATGGCTAGCACTTAGGCACACACTCCACACCCAATTATACAACTTCTGTTTGGTTGGCTCGTTGACCTAATGCGTGTAATTCATTAGCTGCAATTAGAGTTCAATTCAAAGGTTCAAGGTCCGTTGGCGACGGAGCAAAGAGCCAATGTTGCCATTGCCATTGAACAGACATGTAGCACTTCATTAATGCCTCCTCCTTGCTCTGCCTGGGCACTCCTCGATCTGTTCTATGGGAAATTATAATAATAATGTGGTCGTTTGCTTTCACTGGCCCACGTGCTGCGTTAGCGTTGTTAAATGCGTCCTTAATAGGCACAACATTTGTGGCAATGTTTTTACAGCACACACACACGCACAAACATTTGGCCATGTTCTGCTCGATAGTCCTTTGCCAAGAGCTGCTTTTGTGTATGGCGCTTGCTGATGGCTCATAATTGTGTTACATCTGGTTTGGAATGCTTATACGAAAATCAAATGAAAATGAAAATAAGAATTTATTAAGATAAGGTATATAGAAATGCTAATGTGGATTACCTACATATATAATTCATTGGGCTTTATGGCAATCGGATAGGTCACCTTAACTTTTTTATTTTTAAGAGGTATCTGCATGTTGCGATGATGCTAATTATGCACTTGATTGGAATTTTAATAAAATAATACTAATACACAACCATCTTCAGTAGGTACTTTGCAAAATAATGGTGACCAGACAGCTACCTATTAAGCTACTGCGCTATATTGCGTACAGGAGTTGTCCGTCCCGAAAGAAGCTCCTAACCGTGTCGAAGACCAATCATGGAGGCTGTGTAACAATATGATTTACAAGGAACAAGAATTTCTATTGGAAATCCCCAGATGGAAATGAGCATCAGCATCAGAAGAGCTATGCTTAAAATCGCAATGTATTTGGTACACTATATTTGAAATAGTAGTTGAAATTAATAAGAAACACAGTATGAAATTGAAAATTTGAAAATATTCCGATAAATAATAAAAATAAAATTCTAAATATCTTTCATTTCGAAACTGTAAATGCCAATACTCTTGAAATATGTCTCCAGATTTGGCTGACGAAAATGCTGTGGACAGTAACATCAAGCCTGAACTACAATTTCCTATCCATAACCTTGGAGATGACCAAAGTAATAGTTGCGAATCGATGCAGTCATTTCAATTGGTAGGTATTCATTCCAGAAAGAGAAGTTCACATCGCTTTGAGCAAACGAAGCAAGTACCCCAGGAATCTGTTATTTCGAAACAAAAAGTTTACGAACCCAGCCAATTTGACGATAAATTGGAAAAACTTACAAAACAAACCTATAACCAGTCATTAGAGGATATCATAACAGAAAAAAACCCGCAGTTTCATGAATCGAACAGTGATGATTGGGAGACTTGCAAAAAGACGAATTTTGTGGAATTGGTTAATAGCCGCCATCCCAGTTATACTTTCAAGAATATTGATTAGTAAAGCCAAATTTATATTTATCTGCAAGTTATGTAATTTCAATTCTGTCATGTTTCAGTTCTATGGTGTGTGATTTGGCTTATTCGAAGGCGAAATAGAAATACAATTCACAACTACTCTGTGAAATGGAAAACATATGCCATAGTACCAGAATATGCGACCAGTTTTTCACCAAAAGGTAGTGAATTTGGGGCTCAAATGGTTTTCACAATTTATTTGTCTTGTCCCTTTCAAGGCTTTTTACCTATGCAACGACGTGGCCTCCTCTCCACACAAAGGCCGAACTGAATTTATTTATAGCCAAGTTTTTCCAACTACCACCGAAGCAAAAAAGGCGCTTAAATTATTTAATGACAAACGACATAGTCTAATGGCCAAGACCTATCAAGACTTTAATTGCAGATTTAAATATGTTCATTTAATATTACATAGGTATTATTAACATAAGTATATTTGCAATTAAGTGACAAAAACCTGCAGTCTTATAATTATTTTAGTTTCAGTAAAATTATTTTAGTGAAACAATAAAAAGGATAGCGCTTTAAAATTTAATTGTGAATATCTCACTCGATTACAACTACACACCTATAGCTACCAAATAATTTGATCAAATTATTTGATAATATCTATGAACAGAATTACTGTGGTAAGATACGTGGTTTTAGCTTAATATGAAAAATAAAAAGTAGAAGCTTAATTTTTTTTTTTTTTTTTTTTTTTGACTATCTGGACTATACAATTTGCACTACTTGTATTAAGAATAAAACGGGATATCTACAGAAACTAGCAATACTAATTCTCCACCTTTCAATAAGCTGCGGTAAAAAGTCCGCGTAAAATTTTCTCAAGCTCGAAAGCTCGAATGAGTTTAACTGTTATTTTAATGATTTTCATAAAAGGGAGCATTATTTATAACGTTTGCACAGCTAAATTGGAGGTGCGTTGTGTAGAGCCCTCTCTTAAAAGAGCACCTACAAATTACAGTTTTAAACTTCACGCATGAATACGAAGAACTATAATTACGTATTAAAAGCAGGCTTTACCCGCTTCGGAGAGTTGTTTTAGAATTTCTAGTGACATTTCCAGCAAGACATTTGCTAATTAATACAATTCGAATCCAAATAAATTTTTTTCGAACAAAAATTATGCAATTCAGCACGATTGTTTTATAAGTCCTGCGAGTTATAATAGCTTATTTTATTATTACTATTATTTATTAAAATAAATAAAGAAATAAATGAGCTATCAGTTAAATGATTTAGATAATATTCAACACTAAATGAAGGAGAAAGGCATAGTTGACCTGATGACTTGTAATATACTATACTATTTTCGCTTTAAATAGAGCTTTTTAAATAATTAAAAAGTTGTCAATTGTCGAACTTCTGACGCCCTTTAACAGTTGTATGTATTTTATTCTCAACAGGTGGTTTTTTGTTATGCTAGCTGTTTTTTAATTTAAGTGTACATTAAATACAATGGAAATTTCAACATTTAACAACAATTATGGATAATGAAGAATATATATGAATAAAAGTATATAAATATATATATATATATATATATATATATATATATATATATATATATATATATATATATATGTGCATTTATGTCTAGCTTACTTATTTCAATTGATTTCGTTTGTTCAGTCGATCATGAATTAATTCAAACAAAGCATTAAATAAAATGTGACATCGCTGTAAAATTGATTATTGAACATTTTTAGTCATATTTTCGCCTTTAACAGGCGAGAGTGTGTCAGTATGTCCTGTTGGTTAACGGAAAGTCTGCCATTTGTCAAATAATATTTTATAACTGATTTTTATTGCTATTTTTTTTTTTTTGTTGACAAAGGCGTGCAAACGAACCTGCTAGACATATATACATGAATATACACACATATATACATATGTGTATGTATGTATATATATATATGGAATTGTTGTTATGCATGTGCCACCTTGACAATATATAAAATATGAAAACTATTATTTTCCTGCGTCTCAATATGTGTTTTGCATTTGTTTGCATGTTTTTTCAGGCTGGACAATTATTGTTGATTTCAATTAAATGGTCGGAAAATGCACAGACTTAAATGTGTGCACTACAACTCAGCAGAACTTTTATTTGCATCTACCAATCACACGAAGCATGTTTTCAGTTCAAAATGGAAATTATGGTTGCCTGGGTTTTTCTTATTTCCGGCAATTGTTTGTGTTAGACATCATATATAAATAGACGAACAAACATGACTTAAACAAAAATAATTAAGGCATTATTAACTTAATTTAAATAAAATTCCTGTTTAAAGACAGGTGTTTCTTTACCTACATATATAGATATTACTTGTCCAAGTATTTAACACCTTTTACTTCAATATAAATAGGTCGAAAGTAATTCATCATAATATAATATAAACAATAATAATAATAATAATATAAACAAATTGCCTTGACTAACTTTTCATGATAAATTAAAAAATATATTCTTAAAATTAATTAAACTTAATTGGATAGAAAATTTAATGACGTTGTTTAATTAATCTGTTTCTTAAGTTTAAAACATTAATCTGATTTATTTTATGCCTCAACGTAAGTAAATAAACTCTTACAAAAATATTAAAATAAATAAAACTTAAATTATATACAAATACAAAAGGTCGAACAGGTTAAGCAGAATAATTTGCATCAAAATCTTAGAAATCTTGCCTAACGCCTCTCAATCCTCTGAGCATCATAAAATGAAGCAAGGTAGCCACAATTATTGAAAACACTTTGCATGCCTGAACTCATTTTCACAGCGGACCATGAATATTTAAGCCAAATAATGTGTTTTCTTAGGCAGCTAAATACTCTCCACGGTCAGATGCAAATATGCAAAATATTTGCGGTTTTCACGCGGTCGAGAGCCCCAAGTGCCTTTTATTAAACTTTAATGCTAAGTACAGCTAAATTTGAAGAGCTGCTGTGAGCGCGCCCACGGTATGGGCCAAGTTGTGCAGGTAAAAATCAACGCAGCCGCGGCCCGCATCCGCAACTTTATGCAATAAATTATAATTTCCGCATGCTGTGCTGCTGTGTATATGTATACTATACGTATGCGCTGTTGTTTTTATTCTCGATGTGCGCTACACCTGCACGGCCAGGGATTCGGCTGCTGGCCAATGGCTCGCCTGGTCATTTCCCGTTTATACGAAGCTTATGAGCAAAAAATGAAAAGTTGGGGGACAGCAAAAAACTGCTGCATGGCTGCGAGGTGTGCGCCAATTTCCGGCGTGAGTGAGCACGCATTAATCGAGACTTAAAAATATTTAAACCGTTCGCCTAGTGATACGCCTTTTATTCTCATTTTGTTTGAGTGCATATGTTGCCAGCAGCATAGCAGACAAATTGTTATTAATTGCTGCAGCATCTATTCTGCTGTGTTTATGTGTTTGCACTGAAAAGGTTGCTAATCATTAGCACCAACCGCCACAGCAGTAGCAGTAAATGTGGAGACTGTCAAAGAAAACGAGCAATCACTTAATTAGAAAGCATCACGCATACGCAGTGTTCACACTAGAGAAGGTTTTGCGTATGCTGAACACATCTCAATGCCACTAGGAGGTTCACGTTCATATATTTTAACATACACAAGTAATTCATATGTTCTTAAATATAATATTAAACTATCGTATTTTTAATATATACACAATAATATATACACAATTAATATACACAATTTTATGACAGACAGATAATTTTATTTATATGCAAGCAAAATTATTATTATAATTTAAATATCTCTTTTTTTATTAAATATTTATATTTTCTTGCCAGCTCTAACGCTTACAATTAATTAATGTAGTAAACATGTAACATAAACACCTCATATAAAGTGAAGCCGTAGAGAAATTTGAATGTTAATAAAATAATTGAATCAATTTTGGCAATAGTATAATTATAATAATATATGTAATATTTGAAATATTATAATTTTAGTTAAAAACGCCACAGATTCACACGATTTGACGCACAAAAATGTTTAATTGAATTTCGATAAAATACTATTTTAAATAATGCTTTTATATGTTGTCTCCCTTCTCATTTAAGGTGCATTTCGATTTATTTGTTGAGCGTCCACTCGCCAACCATCCAGCATATTGCCTCACCATTTCATATCGAGCTACGCCATCGCGTTCTGGCCATAAATGTGCTACAGATGAAATGAATACGGCTAGTAAGTATGTGTTACATATTTAACAAATAGTATTCCTGTGCAATCATTGCCAGCCAGTGTTTGCGAGGTTTGCCTTTGCTCCTTTTTATGGCATAATTTTTATCATCTGCTTACATCATGCGCACTAACCATAAACTTGTGGGAATGGGTAGTCTGGCCCGTAAGGAGGGGCATGTTACGGGCATTTAATACAATAGAAAAGAAATGTGAAAATACAAAGGAAAAGTTGTTTTATATCTCTTCAAATAAATTTAATGTGTAGGATTTTGGGTTCATAACATAACAAATGTGAATAATTTAATCACTTGTTATTTAAACTTATATATAAATTCAATGGTGGCAATGCTTTCGTAATTTAGCGTTGAGTAAAATTTACGATATCAAGGGAATCAGCACAACCTCTATCTTTTGTTTTCGGACACGTCAGACTGAGATCAGGATATAATAATAATAATGCATATCGTAAATAAATGACTTTGTGAGTATAATAAATACAATTGAGGAAAAGCTAGCATATTCACTAAATTTATATCTCTGGGCAAGACTTCGATCTATCAAATAGGAATTGCATTGCCATGTTGTATTTTAATTCAATTTTTCTTTGTCCATTTTAAAGGAACTGATCTATGTCATAAGAATATAGTTTAACTTAAAATACACTTCAAGCATATATCCTTGCAGCTTGATACTTATTACCTTTAGCTTCAACAATATACATTTTTATCTTTTATAACTGCGTGTGTCCACAGGGTACATTCCAGTCATGCGTTGCCAACCTTCTACTTTTTTATGCTCAATTTTCTTAACTACAACTCTTCTGGCTGGCTGTGTGTATGTGTGTGTGTGCTTGTATCTGTGTTTGTGTGTTGCCATGGTGGTCCTTCGGTCGTAACTTGCGCTCTGGGCACACAACACTCCAGTTTTGTGGCACTGCGAAATGCATTTCATACGCAATAAAAATACACTTGCCGAGTGGTTTTACAGCTCGACCGTTTCTTTTGGCTGTCGCTTCTTTTAGCGCCGTTTTGCTATAATATTTCCCACTTATAAAATAAAAAAGCAAAAGTCACTTGCTCTGCTCTGTGTGTGTGAGTTGTTTTTTTAAAGGAAATTTAATGAGCTACTTAATGTTGTTGTTCAAGCTCTGCTGTTGCAGTTCATTTTTTCAGTTTTTACGATTTTAACAAGTTGGTTGTTAAATAAATTTAAATTACGCTCTCCCAGGCGCCCTTAGCAGTGTTCCGCCCAGTTCATTATGATGTTGCACTAACTAAAAAAAAACAGAGAGAGAAAAAATAAGTTCAATTCATGGAGTGCGCTGCCAATTTATTAACCTGGCCAACAAATACTTCATCATTTCAACAGCTCTCGTTTATATTTATTCACTGAGTGCAAAATATTAATATTTAATATAATTTCTTTTTTATTTATATTTTGTGAAAAATATGGGGATTGAAAACCTGCTGCATCATGTTGTTTGAATATTTACCTTAGATTTTTGTTGCGTGCCCGATGACTCTCAATTTTCTGTTTGATTTTTGAGAGTTTTGGTAATTGATGGCACTTAGGTCAGCTTTTAAAAATTGAGAAGAAAACATGGAAAGATTTGCCATATCAAAACTGATGATGAGCTGAATTAAAGAGGTTATAGAATAAATTATTATACATTGTGGTTGGGCAGGGTTTTTTCTTAAATGAAAGTATATTTTTGTGACTTAAGAAAGAAAATGCTTCGAAAGTCTTTTTCGATTGTCCTGTCAATAAGCCTAAAATGTTGAGTATTTTCTTACTTTAGTTTTGATTTTTTGATATTTGATAAAATATATTTTTTTAAATTATCTTTTATAAAATAAAACTTTATTTATAAATTGCATTTGGGACTGCTTTTCTAGGTTGCGACTTGAGCTATAGTATTGAATGATAAGATATAGAAAAAGACTTGTTTATTCGTATTTACGAGGTTGACCGAGTTAAGGAATGAAATAAAGTGGTCTGGTAAGCCTAAATGCAGTTCTTTTAAAGAATACAAATTCCACAATATATGAAAAAAACAGAAACGACCCAATTTAAGTTGAAATTCTTGCTAGTGATTTTAAGTACTACTCAGCACCGCTGACACGTCTGAGAAAGGTGGCCTGTTTGGTACGTATTTCGTATTGCATATGTCTAAATGAAGTCCAATATATTTGTGTTTATTTTCCTATAGCATTTTCTAACTCTTCTCACTTCTCATTTTCCTTAATTGGATGTGTGACCTCCACAACTTGTCTTTGGAAGGGCACCTTCCGCTCGAGTGCAACTGACATTTGTCGCTGTTGACTTGATAGAATTCGAATTGTGAATTTTTCCTCAATTGCATTAAGTATTTATTAAATTGAATGGAATTTTCTCAATTTTCAAGATATATACCATAGGGACCAACTCTAAAAACAATATTTTCTTTTCTTCAAACAGAACTGCATTTGACATTCGAGAGTATAAGACTTTCTTTTTTTCTGCATGGCAAATCAGAGCACAAAAAGCAAATAAAACTTAACAGAGCGAAACATTTTGCATGCCCTACTCCTTGTGGGTCTTCAATTTTTTTGTTGGTCTATTTTCAAGAGCGATTTTATGCTTTTGCCTTTTACTGGGGATCCATGACAATTGCGTTGTCTACGAACTCGTGACGCTCAATTTGGCAATGATTTATATGAGCTTCGAGTGTAGTGCAGAACTCTAAACTTTAAAGCGACAGTTGATTCGATAACAGAACTGAATCTAACATCGTCAGAATATTGGTTTGTGTTCGCAATAAGCCACTGTTTTTAATTGTGCTTTGCTAATTTGGTGCTGTCGTAGTGCATTTAATTTAATTATTTCCAAAATATTCATACAGCAAAAATACAAATAAAATGCATAATCAGCAACTTTCATTTCGATTGGAGCGCAGGCAATTGCCAAATGCAAATGAAAAGTAAATAATAATAAAATTGCGTTGCACTACGAAATGAGAATAGGCAAATGATGTGGCCGGCCACTGTTGCAGCCCTTGCATGTTGCAACGGCAACAATCACCAAATGCCATTGATAAACGAGGTTGGCCCAAATCGCATTAAAGGCCACCCAAGTGCCCAGAAGCGGTAATCAAATGTGCAGCATGTTCCCACACACAAATACACTATATATACATACATACACACACAGAAACATACATACGCACGTTTATCCAATTGTGTTCCCAGGTTACGAATCACAGGTAAAGGGTTGAAAATGGTTTACAAAGAAGAGCAAACACAAATTCTTAAAGGAAATTATAGTTTAGTTAGTTCATTAAAGTAAGAAAAATAATATTTGAAAGCCCTTAATTTTCTAGATGTGCATAAGAAATTATATTATGAATGTTTTCTTGTAACAATTGAAAGTTAACTAGTGGAAAAAATATAATTAATTTTTAAGTTACAAAAATTAGTTTAATAAGTTAGACAACTTTATGAAGAATTCAAAAAATGTAATTTAATTAAATTTATTTTTAAATTCATAAATTGCAGAAAATGAAAAATAGTATCCATTAAATGCTAAATTGGTATTAACAATATTATTGTAGAATATTCATTCATAAAAAAAAAAAAAATTTCTTTTTTATTTTAGCATATTTTGAGCACATATATTATCACACCTGTCTGATCAGTATCTTATATTGTTTTTTATGACGTTAAATATTTATTAATGAAAAATAATTTGTATACTTCATACGAGTTGACAGTTGATTTGATATCGTAAATATAATTAAAACAATATTTCCTTAATTTGAGATTTCCATGAGTTTCGGCAATTTGCAATTTGCCGAAATGATAATCGATTTGTGAAACAGAAAACTCGACACTTTTTTTATTTGGTGGCGTAAAAACGAAAATTGTTGCGAAAATCCACTTTGGCATTTTGACGGGCATTTGAATCCGAAAACCGGGCCAAGCGGCGAGTTTATTCAGGTCAAAGTCATAAATTGCATGAAAATCGGGATCTGGACTTCGTTCGGGCGTTAGGCTGAGCTGCGCCAATGTTACAGTTCGGCTATGCATGTTAAATGAAATTATTGCAGCTTGTTTTTTCTGCTTTTTCTTGCTGTCTTCTAACTGTCGCACATGGCGTATGCGTAACGTTCGTTCAATCCATCAATCAGCGCGGCATACTGCCTGAGGCTCATTTTATGTTGTGATATATTCTTTTTCTGGACAGCACACCAAACAAATTGACTTAGATTTACGAGAATGTTTGCGACACAGAGACTCTATGTGCGTGTTTCTGTGTGTGTGTGTGTGTGTGTGTGTATTAGTTGACACGATGGGCTTCAATGGTTGCAAACAGTCGCTTGTGAACCTTTTGAGAATAGTAATTTATTCAAATTCTATTCAACAGCAGTTTATTTAAAGTATCATAATCTAACGCAATTGTGGATGAAGAGTGACAAAGAAGTATTAGTTAAACACAATGAAAATTGAGTCCAAAGGGTTAACACGGCAGAAAATTAATATAAAGAATAGGTTAAGTATATTGATATAAAAACTGTTAAATCGTTGACTTAAAACTGAAGCCACGACAAGTCAAAATGTAATTGAGATGGAATCTCTGAATTGAATTTTCTTATCATATTCTTGTTCGACTTTTATCACTTCTCCGACCAATAACTCGCAGAACGTACTCTATCTGTGTGTAGAGATCTTAAATGAACTCCCTGCAGTGGTGCACTTATCTAAGCTTATTTGCCAAACTTTGCCTGCTAAAAGCTCCACAGTGAGCCGAGTGGATTACGTGGCAGGCTCGTTAACGGCCGGCGGCTATTTTAAATGTAGCAAACACAACTCAATTACAGCCTGGCAGCCCTTCAACCCTCCTAGCAAATCCTCTACTGCGCTTCGGAACGAAAATCCAGGCAATTCAGTGGGGGTCGTCATACACATTTTTACATGGTTCGGTCTTCGGGCCAATTGACGGCTGTCTGTCTGACCAGGTGTAACTGAATTTTTGCCTGCTTTTTGCGTAAATGTGAGTGTGTCTGTGTGTGTGCGTGTTAATTACATTTGGCTTGCATTTGTGTAAAGTTACCCAAAATTGAATTACAAGTTTTTGCCAGCATTTAGGCAAAGTATCTCTGTATGTGTGTGTGAACGCTTTTTTCAGTTTTTTTTCTTTTGTTGTTTTTGCTGGGCGATTTGGCCACACATGGCCCAGCCTGAAACCCAAAAGTACAAACTTTTCAGCACGCAGCCGGCAGGAGAGTTTTTGGCAACAGTTGGGCCAAGTTGTTGCCAAACTGATATCTAAAATGCTTCAAACCAGCAGTTTTTTAGCTGTTGGAAAAATTTCGAAAATTTATTAAATAGTATTTAGGACGCTCGTAAAAAAGGAAACTTTATTTAAATTAAATCAATATGCAGGCGGGACGAATGTAGAGGCTGATGCAAACGATAGTTGCATTCGCTGCCTGCTGAAAAATTTATATGAATTTATTAAAATTTTTAAAATCTTTGCATTTTTATATATTGATAAGTATTTCATCGTACTTCTAATGCTTCTTTCTTACATTACCTCCTAATAAAGTAAAGCTGCTACAGTAGCTACTACTGATAAGTACTACTTATATGCTGAAGCTTCTCAGGCAATCCTTCATACGTACTCTTCGCACTCGTCTTCTCTTTGCCCATTTTCGAATTTCGCTTTCCTGAGTCAGCTCTAAGCCGCTAATGGAAGTTCTTACTTAATGTTCTAAGTTTCATAATTAGTTGCCAGGCAAGAGTCTCAAATAGAGCTTTGCCAATCAATGCCAAACTGTAGAGCGAAGCACTCCAATTCCCTCTTCGCAGCCTTCTTTGCGCTGCGAAGCATTTCTGTTCATTGTGCAGCTTAGCTTACCTCATTTGGCTGCATTTCCTGCAGGCCTCATTAACCTTTCGCGCACAGCCCATTCATTGTCTACTTTGTTGGGGCCTTGCCACGCCCACCCATTACGCAGCGCTAACAAACAATTTAATCGGGACAGCGGGCGCTGCTCTCTGGACGCCAAGTGCAAATAATAGAAATTCATTGCCAAATTGCATAGAAAATCGTTGCGAGGAGCTGCAAGGACTTGGTGCCGCGGACAGCTTGGCAGCCAGCTTGGCAGCCAAAGTAACTTTCTGAGGCAGCGTTTTAATTACCGCAAACGGCGGCAGTAAGCGCATTACGTATACGCCGCGTTCCAGCTGCCGATAAAATCGCATTTAACGCAAAGTTAATTAAAATGCGTGCACTTCGCTCGCGCACTCTCTTCGTCTTTTTCTATTTAATTAAAACTTAATTTTACAATAGGTGCATTTCGACTCGGGTTCGCCTCGCCTCATCTCGCAGCCCACACCTCCTCACGCACGAATCGTGCTCTCGATCCAGTCTATATAGTCCGACACGCGAGTGTAGACGCCGGGCCAGCCTTCGAGGCCGCAGCGATTGCCAAACGAGACGACGCCTTCCAGGTACCACGCGTTCTTGAAACGCATCAGTGGTCCGCCCGAATCGCCGTCACAGCTGTCACGCGCGAATTCGCCGCCAGCGCACAGCTGTGAGCTGATCACGTCAATTTGCCGCGTGGCGAACTTATCAGTGCAGTAAGACAAACTTGTTACGGGCACATCCAGCCGCTGCTTAATATTGCTTTGTCGACCTGAAAGGCAAATGGAGAATACAAATAGAGCTCGTCTGTGCTATATACTGTCCTAGTGTCGTTTACATATATATATATATATATATATATATATATATATATATATATATATATATATATATATATATATATATATACATATATAACTCGGCCTTATGTAGTAAGACAATACTTACTGAGCAATGTTCGTCCCCAGCCGCTAACAACGAGCAGCTCAGAGTTGTTGATAGCTGATCGCACGCTGGGCAGGGGCAGACACACGGGTTGGATGTACTCGTTGAGCTGGACGGGCGTACGTAGACGTATGAGGGCGATATCATTATGCCGATGACGACTGCTTGCTTCATATTGCGGATGCGGGATGGCCTCCTCGACTTCTATCTCCAGCACGGGCGGGTTGCAGTCCCTATCTATACAATCCACATCCGTGCTCAGATCATATTCACCAAGTCGCACGCGATTGCTGGAAGTATTCCAAAATGCATTAGCAGCAAAATACTCCCGACACTGAGGTTTGCACTTACAGCTGTCCCACTTCTTTCTCGATGTCGCCCGTGACGCAGTGGGCCGCGGTTAGGACATAGCGACTGTTGATCAAACTGCCGCCACAGTTCAGGAGCTTCTCGCCGCTACCTGAGTGTGAAGATAAGCTATATGGCAAGAAGTTATATGAAGATAGCATGAGCTACTCACGACTTCTATACTCCAGCAGTGCCATCCACATGAAGTCATCTAAGTTCGTATTGTTTCCATTGTAGATCCGATTGGACAACGAGCTTGGTCCGCAGGCTGGGGTGCGCGGCAGCAAATCTCCGTCCTGCCGGCGGATCGGACTAATGGATGGAGTTGTTCTTGTTGTAGTTGTTGAGGTTGTTGTGTCAATGGGCGTGATTGTTGTTGATGTCTGGCGGTCAGAGTAATTTATATCTCGAGTGCAGCACACATAGGGCGAGCGGCCGAATCCATTTTCGCATTGCGACTGCCGCAGGAAAGAGCGCTCATCACTCGTGAGCTGAATCTTCTGGACCAAATTCAGGAGAGGCGGGCATTCGTAGAGCGATATGCAATAGCCAGTATTTTGATTTGGATTGCGACAACCTGTAGTTATTCAAAAAGTTCAATATAGTAACTTTGGTTTAGTTTTCTGCCTTATAAATCGATTTTCATATATCTAGTTGCCATAAACCTCGAGTTATGCATAGAAAGGCAGTCATATGATCGATATTTAAGCTCAACTTTGACAACTCCTCATTGAAAATATCCGCTGTAAATTGCATCTTACATTCCATTTATTTTTATACCCCATACATATTTATATAGTTAATTAGTCTAATTAGTCAGACATATCTGCTAACCACTTCACAGTTAAATAATTGTTACATTAATTTATGCTGATTACTGGAATTTTACTTGAACTACATTTGTGTCTGCTATGTATTAATTAATTAAATACAATATTAATGTTAAATTCGAATTCAAAATTCAAATTATTTATGGAAATTCTCGGAAATATTGTTCAATTATAAATGCCATTTTTAGTTTATTGCAATTGTTATCACTTATATAATTTGCTCTTGTATTTTGTATTTAAAATAAATAATAAACGTCGAATTAAGCAATTATTTCCTGTGTTTTATACGCGTATTAATTAATATACTATAATTTTGCAAATACAATTTATGTTATGAGCACCGTACGAAATGCAAATAAACCGAGCCCATCCTTACTATATATGTATGTATAAAAAAACAAATGTAATCACAAATACTTCAGAGTTCAATGTTTTTAGTTGAAATGTGATTAACAATGATTTAAGTGAGCCGTAAACGGAATCAAACAGAATTTTATTAGCACGAGAGTGAGTGGCCTTGCGTCATTCACTTTCTCATAAGCGGGCGCCACAGCGTGTAAGGAACACACTGCTCTGATAATAATTAAATATAATTAATGACGGTCCGATGGCCGGAGATAGGGAGAGCGGCACTGGCCGAGAGTCTTAGAGTCAAGTTCACGCAGCGGATGATTCATTGCAAAACCCGTTGATTGCGCGTTGCGTTTTTATTATTACTAACTTTGTGCGTTAGCTGTGCCGTGCAGCAGCGCAGCTATGATGAGGATTTCCAGAAATCGCAGCATTGATATTATTGCGGGAAATAACACTTAAATGCAAAAACTTGTCAGAGAATTGATGAATATGAAGTCAGACATGCACATTCAACTTAACACGTGTACGAACACCTTGTCGCGGTCACTAATCGAGCCGAACTGTTTTTAGCAACAGCTGTGCCAGGTCTTAAATAACCCGAGAGCTGCTGAGAGAACTGTTGTGAGAACTTTGAAGTGGCTCTTCGATCAGTGAGCGCAGATTGCGAGTGAGTGAATGAGAGCGAAATAGGCATATGGGAGCGAGTGTGTGAACTAGAATGTTACTAGAGTGTAGGAGAGCTGAGAGAACAACAAACGAGAGCGTGAATAACAATGGAAGTGGAACTAAAAAGTGGAAGCCAGACTAGTAGCTAGAGTGTAGGTAAGCCAAGAGACTATGGAATGGAATGCAAATGAAACAGAAAAGTGGAACGGGAAACACAACTAGCTACAATGCATGCGGGCGAAAAATATACTAGACTTATGAAAGCGGGAGCGCGTAGAATCTCTCAGTGTTCATAGTGAAATTGTATACGCAGTTTGATCAGTATTAATAATTAGTACACTATTTGGGAATCCCTTAGTTTGACAAAACAAAGCGCGTAGTAGGCTATAGCCTAGAATTCACTAAACAACACAACATAATTAAGAAAAACATCAACAAAAAAATATATGTACAGTTGTATGCCTACACATATAGACAAATATCATTCACAATGGAATCCGAGGAAAAACAAAAAGATGTATCTGAGGAAAAACCCAGAGAAACAATCGAAGAAAGGCGTAGAGACGATTCTGAGAGAAATTCATTGTTATTATTGGACACAGCCTCGGGGCGTGCAAAATCCCTGTCCAAGTTGTACACAGGAAATAGTCCACTTGCGCTGCGTCGAACAGCCAATATAAACGTGCCCAACGTGGACATAAGCAAGTCCCTGTACCGATTCAGGCAGCGCAATCCGGACGATCCCCCAAGGCCTAAAGTGGATTTGGAACTAATAATACGCGGTGAAAAATATAAGCCCAACGATGACCCGGACATGTTTGATCGTGAGCCAAGCTACACGAAATTCAAGATACCCTAGTAAGTGGAAGTAGAAAATGAAGTGTGTAGTGAATAATATCTGTATGTGGTCTGTATATAGTCAAATGATATGCGCTAAACGGTATCAGGATTCGGTTAGAGCCTATGAACAACAGCTGGAGCATGAGATTACACAGAATATAGAGTTCCAAAAGACTGCAGCCGACGCGTGCGATTTCATGCGGTAATAACGATCGGCCTATAACATTTCATTTTGCATATATACCCAATCATATTCCTATACAGCTGTGTAGCTTACACGACTTTTTGGCCACCGTTGCACAACATGTCCGAGGTGAACCATACGTCCAAGCATTTTTTTAAGCTCACCGAAAAGGAAAAGTGGCGTCTGAATAATATTATGAATACGGATATAATATAAGCAAACGATAGGCCATTATATAATTTTCTATTTTGCATATTCCAATCAAGAATGTGCACTCCACTACACAAGAATACAATGAGCTTCATTTAATCGCGCATACGCAGCGTGGTGAAACAAATGGGTGAGATCGCATACCGTCATAATTATACGAAAAATAAATGTAAGTGTGCTATAAAAACTAAACATTGTTTCATTGAATTTCCCAAAAAGAACCTGAGTTTCCAGAAATTAGCAGAATCATCAAGTGATTTATTTTTCGATTTTTCGGTCTTTTCCATCAATTAAATATTTAACCATGTGCCAATTGTATCCATGACTGACTAAGAACTTAGCTGGCAAAGTAAGCAAATCAAGCAAATCAAGCTCAAATAACCTAGACAGCATAAAGTTTATTACAAAGTGCATACGGACGAGGGCTAAACATTGATAAAAACTACAATTGTATGCAGCTTTTGCATTTGCCTGCTGCCATCGGACCGAAACAAAGCTCATCGGATCAGTTGGCAGCCAGAGTGCCCTTCCACCTGGACACCCTCTAGATACTCTGCATTACTTCAGCAGCCGGCCTGCAATTTGTCTGGCAAATTGTAGAACAAATTGACGAGATTCTCAGCATGTTCTGCGCTGTAGTCATTGGTCAGTGGGAATGAATGCATTCTAGTTGCAAAAAAGTAAGTCGATGCCTCGACTGCTTTCGTTTTAGAAATATATGAATGCACATATATTTCACGAGGAGATAATTTTGTTGAATTTAACTTATTTCAAAGTAACTGCCAGTTGAACAGAATAGAACTTTGTAATAGGAGCTATGTAGAAAGCAAATGCTTTTATAGAAGATTCATATATATTGTATCATATTAACAATTCTCGCATAGTATAGTAACAGAATATGCAAGCTGGAAAGAGATTGATTAGGTCACTTAGAGGTTTTGTAGTTAGGCAACTGTACAGTCCAATTAGCTCTAAGTAAAATATCTAACCAATCAAGCTGTGTTTAAAGGTAAAGTAACACTACTTTCAGGCTACGCACAGGTTGTCAACGGCAAGCTCAGACGAGTCTTAAGCTTTATCTCTGCCAGTGACGACGCTTTGGATGCATACCACATTCTACCATAGGTAGTTTAGACGCCTAAAACTGGTCTTAAGTCTATATCAGAAGAAGCAATTCAAAATGTAAAAATATATTTCTTTTAATAACTAACCGTTCACTATTTATTTATTTATATTTATTTAAATATTTGAACGATAAATATTAATTTTTTATTATTTACACGCTAGTCGTCTGCTACCTTCTTGGCTACTGAATCTGATGAGAAATTTATTAATATACTTTCTTAGAACTGTCAACAATAGTAGACACAGTATATCTTGCTTAGGACTGAATTATTGGGAAGTTTTAAGGATATTTGAGGTGTTTTAGAACTAGACCCAGTCAGGTAGGTCTTGAGGCTGGTGATCGCTGAGCCTTTTCCTATCCTTCTAGCGTGGTCTAGCAGATCTTTGGGCTAGAGTACCAAGACGTTAAGCCATGCTGTATGGTCTGCCTTATGAAGGGTATTCTGTAGTCCGTCAATCAAGAAACCCGCATGGATTGTTATTTGTGCTCACTTTGGGGTGTTCTGCCTTTCGTACCAGGCATACATAATTTGATGTCCAGCTTGCCCTGGCAAAGCTGTAAAAGCAAACATGTGACTGCATAGTTTAGCCAGCTACTTGGCCTAGGCCAACTAACTGCGAATAGGACTGCTCAGCGGCTGATATTCTGTTGTCCTGTCGCTTGTTTCTATGACATTTTTGCCATGTTTGCACCGCTTGAGGCAAGCGACTGACGCGGCTATTGTCCAGGTCTATGCCAACTTTCTGCAGTTGTTATTGTTGTTGATGTTGTTGGCTTTGGTGTCCTTTTTGTTTTGTGTGTAGGCTTAGTTCGGCCGGCGCTTGCTATTTCATGGCTGTATTCACTGGCTTTCAGCACTGATGTCAGTAGCTTGCCCCGCCCCAAAATCCTTTCGTCCCTCTTGTCTGTTATGTAGCCGTAGCATTGTTTAATAATTTTCCTGCTTACTACAGGGGCTTCTGTATCTGCGCCCCGGATGCGCCTCGGCAACGTTCAAACTTGTTGACCATTTCAGCAGCCTGCTACGGATTTAACAAAAATCAGCCTCTGGCTGTAGAATGCTGCGTGGTGCATGGTGCATGCTGCATGTTGCACGTAGCACGGCCAACTTTTATGGACATAATGATGAAATTACAGCTGCTCTTAGAACTGATGTTGGCTATCTGCGCGTTGGCTAATTTGCTTGTCCGCCAACAGCCTTTGCAGCAAAGTTTAAACAAAGCTTTAACGCCTTTTGGCACCAGTTGAATTTAGCCATAAGCCAGCTTAAAGTCTGGCTACGATACCTAAAAAGGGCAAATCAGGATATGATAGTTATGCCAGTATGTGTGTTTGGGCAGAAGAAGGCATGCCAAACTTTGTTGTTTCTCCGTCCACACGGACTGACGGAGCGTTGACGTAAACCAAAAAAACTAACGACTTCAAATTTGAAAGGTATAAGCCATATGCAAAAGACGTATGTTTTTCCTTATTATCCATAAAAATCGGTAATGTGACTTCGTTTTTAAGCATAGCTTGAATACCGCAAATGTAGTGGACTTCAGATTTTCTGTGTAGGTTCTCCCAATGAATATGTTTGGGATTTTGGAAACCTCTCCCGACCCTTTTCTTCCAATTCATAAAAAGCCTATTTCAAATACTAGAGACTTGTGCTTTAGCCAACATAATGTCATAATGCTGGCCTTCATCTAAAGCAAAGTTATTCAACAATTGTGTTCCTATAGGTATAGGGGTAAGCCCCTACTGCTGTCTGCAGCCCACGTGCAGTCGCTGCATCAACTGCGCCGTAAGCAGAGCGCGTGCTTATGCATGCGTGTGTGTGTGCATGTGTTGATTGTGTTTGTAAGTATAAAAGAAGCGTAGAATGATGGTACTAGCTGTTTTTTGTGTGGTGAGGGTATCTGCTAGTCAAGCTGTCTCGACTAGATCACTCTTACGTGTTTTTCAGCTTTATTTATTTACAGCTATTTTCTTGGACTCAACAGCGCAGTTGGCTCTAAGCCTTAACTTCAGTTTAGTCTGCCTGTAAGCCGGAAAATACATCTTAAGTCTAGACTTATTTGTTTTTATTTTATTCTATTCCCTAAGATTTCAAGTTCTCTGCGGTTCAGAGGATGTAGCCAGATGAGATGCGAGCTGCCTTGGATGCGATTTCAGTTTATCCGCGTGTCGCCAATGCTGCTTGCCTTCTCACGTACCGCAATTAAAATAATTTCATGTCATTGCAAATGCTTCAAATTCAGATTAGAGATGAGCGATGCGCTACAGAAACCCATTAATTTAATTGTGATTCAGTATCGTTGTTGATGGATGCATGGAGATGGAGAGGACATCTGTCCTTGAATCCGCCATTTATTCAAAGATAATAATTTCTGTGGTGTCTGTCAAGTCTTTTGGCTGATAATTATGTATGTCAATCTGATGTCAGAGAGTTCGCGTAATCATATTGTAGTAAATCACGTTCCGCAGCTGACAGCCATGGAGGCATGGACTTAAATTATGAAAAAGCCAAAGTTTTAATTAGTCAACATATTTTCAGCAAACAACATATTTCTCCACCCACCTGAGTTTTGGCGGCAATGTTTACATTAAAAGCAAAACGAGCTCAAATTTATAACTCAATTTGCTTGCCGTGTTATTTGTTGTTGTTTGTTTTGTTTTTTCTTTTAAAGTGCAGTTTTTCCGCTGTCGACCATAAATTGAGCGCGAAACAACAACAGGGCGACATACAAGAAACAGCAAACAAAAATATTCAAATTAACCCAAAGCACACCTAAAAACAACACAACCCAACACACACACACAAACACACCCAGCCATGCTTATCTACTGACCTTTTAATTTGAATTTGACCAAGAACAGCAAACGCCAAGCGAATTAATGAACTAAAAAGAATGCAACAAAAGCCAACAGCCGGCCACTGGAACCAGCGAAACCACAGCCAAAGCCACCAGAGCCAACTCCGGCAAACACATGTTCAATTAGGTAAATGCGCATTTGGTCGGACATTTTTACGGCTTACGGTGCGTATGTGTAATTTGTAAAATGCATAACTCTCACGCCTGCCACATGCAGTTTAATTAGTGTTGTGTAACGCCAAAGCATAATCATCCTTTCAAGCGCTGCACAGCGCTAACTGCACTGCCCTCAGCGAATTTCGCCAACTTTTCCGCACGACTATTTAAAATTAAGTTTCAATTAGCTGTGCAGCGAGCCATACGAGCCTCCGAGAGAGGGCGACACTAGAAGAGAATGTGCAGGTGGATTTTTAACGGCACTTTATATTAAAAGTTAAGTAAACTGGTTTATCTCGCAAAAGCCATAAACTTTTAGTACACAATTGAATTGATATCAGTTGAAAGGCAAGGGGAATATAGAATAGAACAGACAAACAAGGCTTGAAGAACTTTACAACACTGTTTTTAAATTTCATGTATGTTTTAAGGATTCCTAATAGAAATTTAGATTGGCTGGGTTGAACCCGTTTCTTCTGCTTTACAGTTGTTTTATAATATAAAATTATAATATAAAAAAACTCGATATGCGCTTGCCAACACTAGGCATTACAATTAAAGTCGATCACTTAATAAAAATACATTTGCTAGAGTATTAAAATCTTTTTGCTTACACCTTCTAGTTTACTACTCTCAATTTCATATGCTAATTTCGTGAACACTTATTAGTCAACACTACGAATCCATGTGAATTTGTCTGCCTGACGATTCGATTAGCATTTAGTGCTGCAACCTAGCGGCAACAGCATCAGCAGCAGGAACAATAATTGTTAAAACAACAACGCAAACAAATATAGAGGCAATTTACAGACATGTCGTAATGAAAAGAACAACTAAAAACCCATTAACCCACATTTATGCACACTTTAATGCCTCAACATGCATGGCACTCAGCTGTCTGTCGTGTGTGCGCGTGTGAGTGGGTGTTACAACAACAATGTGCTGGCCACTTGCGTAGACTTGAAATGCATTTCACTGCCGCACAACCTTTTCATTTGCCAGTGCCAAATCCCCAAAGAGCAA